CTCCTATTCCTACTCTGCTAATGACCAAATAGAATCACTGTTTAGTGTTACTTTGAGCAACTTAGAGCATTAGTGAAGTAGCTGGAAGGAATTCAGGAAAATCAGCCAATTTCTATGTTTGTGTTACATGAACAAATATCTCTTCACTTACCAAATAAACTTATAAGTTGTCCTTAAGAGATCTCCAAGTTTTGGGGCTGGGAAGGTGGCTCAGTGGTAGAGCGCTTGCCTTGCATGCCAGAGGCCCTGGGTTCGATTCCTCAGCACCACATAAGAAAAAAGCATAAGTGGTGCTGTGGCTCAAGTGGTAGAGCTCTAGCCTTGAGCTGAAGAGCTGAGGGACAGCGCCCAGGCCCAGAGTTCAGGCCCCATGATTGGACAAAAAAACAACAACAACAACAACAAAAAAACAAAAAAGAGATCTCCAAGTCTTTCCATTTCCTAACAAATGAGATGGTATCATTCTTTCTGATGGAAGCATAGAATTCCATTGTATATATGTATATATACCATATTTTCTTGGTGCATTCATCTACTGAGGGGCATCTGGGTTGGTTCCATATTAAATGAAGTAAGCCAGACCCAAAGAAATGTAAGTCCCATGGTTTCCCTTATTTGCAATAATTAGTATATGTCTAGGATAATCTTATCAGATGAGCAAAAAGGCTATAAAGCTATGTACATATGACCATATAAAATGAATGCTAATGCTAAATGAAATGAACCCCTAGATATGGACACAAGAGGTTTTTCTTTATTGCCATTGTTTTTAATGTACTATGTGCTTATTTTTAGTTTATTTTGTATGTTCTTCCCCCTATGGTATGTCCCCTGTTGTCACTGTATTTGATTTTGGTATCCTGCATCTTGTATATACAAGGACACAGATGACCCATTGCAGCAATAATACTCACAAGACACTATGTTGGAAATGAACTTTACAACTTCTGGGAGGTGGAGTGAGTGGGAGGTGGAGGAAAGGAGGTGGGGGGAAGAAAGGGATGGTAGCAGAAAAACAAAAGAGGAGGTAACAATGCTGGACAAGAAAATTGTTCATTACCTTATTCATGTAACTGTACAGCATGTTTACAATAAAATAAAACATTTAAAAAAAGAATAGATCTTCTAAGAGTCAAATTTTATTTGAATTGACAATTCACAACTATTAATGGTAGCTAAAGAGAGCTTTTGTTCTATATGCTAGTGGAAGTTATAAAAATATAATGCATAAATGTGACTGAGTCTTTTAATCAGTTTGTCTTTGAGCATCTCCTAGTCAGAAAAGGTCTTTCCTCATGGGATTGTCATGAGAAATCAATAAATTGTAAGGATACAAAATGCAAAACAATTGATTGCCAAATTTCTTTTATGTATCTTTATTATTGTATTTGTGAGTCAACATGTATTTTTCAATTATTCAGTAACACCAGAGAGAAAATTTCCAGGTATGAGATATATGTGTATATTGTATTAACAGATATAGACATTATGGTTTTAGGTACAAAATGGAATTCTGAAGTATGCAAATGATGGAACTGATGACTTTTGTTAATGATGGTGTGTTTCTGATTTGCAACTAAAGTTTCCCTGATAGCAGAAATAAATGAATGTAAAGACTTTTAAACACTCATCCCAGTCCAATTATTCATGGAATTCAAGATTTCCATCATTGTCCTGGTCACATATAGCCTCAAGGCTTCTTTCTGGTCCCTTATCTTTTGGCTTCCTGAATGTCAAAAGAAGTGTGAAGAGGAATGCACACAGTGTGTGGAGAGTGAGAGCTAGTGAGGACAAAGGAGCCCATCTGAATCTCCAATTCATTCTGTTGACAGAATTCTGGTTATATCTTTACTCTCTAGATAAGTGATTCACTGTTAACCCTGAAGAGGGAGAACTTCCCCTTCTGCACCCATTGTAGTGTTCTGATAGGAGTGATTTTTCTTACTCAAAGTTTTAGTCCTTACTTGGTAAATTGTTCGGTAGTCAAGACACAAGGTTGTCTACATCTGGTATAAATAATCTCCTATCAGAACCAACAGGTTCCTCTTTACATGCCTAAGTCTGCCATTGGATCTGTGAAAGTCTTGTAGTTTCTGTCTATATCACATACTCATCTCTTAAAAATGAGAGATGGCAGGAAGTAAGAAAGCATCTTGTCCAGTTGTTCCTTTTTTCTTATCTTTAAAATGTGAATAATAGTGGCAAGTGTGTCATAGTGGTTGTAAATAGTAAATAAAATAAATTACTAGAGAGAGAATTTATAAATTTTTTTGTATAAGAAATAACTCCAAAAATAAGGCTGTAAGCAGGCAAAGGAAGTATATATTATCTGCTGGCTTAAACAGGTGTATGCTAGTCATTTGAGAACATGAATTCTGCAGTAAGTCCTTCATAATCTCATATTGAAGGTACTTATAATATTTAATGGAATTATATATACAACTAGCAAAATATTGCTGGTATCCTCATTTTTCATATCTTAATTAGCAATTCAGTCATATAAGCAATTAAAATATGTTAAAGTATTCCCAGAAGTTTTCTAGTAGCAGGGAGGGGGAAATACCCTTGCTGCACAAAATGGATATTGGACAGTTCCTCAGGAGGTTTCTTCCCTGTCGAGAGAATTATAAACATTCTGCGCAGGGCTGTGTTTGTTTTCAATGTAGTGTTCTATATACTGTCAAAAATGTCTTCTGGTTAATAAAGACAATTAGTTGTAAAAACAAAGTTCTGTATTGAAAATTTACTTTCGTTGTTATGACAAAAGAAATACTACTGTTCTTTTTTTCATTTCCTTATCATCGCTTCTATATCTAGCCTTAGAAATTAAGTCTTTTAAGCCAAATATTTCCTTTGGCATTAAACCATTCAAATATATAATGTCTTTAAAATTAATAACCAAACTGGGCACCGGTGGCTTACGCCTGTAATCCTATCTACTCAGGAGGCTGAGATCTGAGGATCATGGTTCAAAGCCAGCCCAGGCAGGAAAGTCCATGAGCCTCTTATCTTCAATACGCAGCTAGAAAACCAGAAGTGCCCTTGTGGCTCAGGTAGTAGAATGCTAGCCTTGAGCTGAAGAGAGCAGGGACAGTGCCCAAGCCCAGAGTTCAAGCCCCATGACCGACCAAACACACACACACACACACACACACACACACACACACACACACACACACAAAACAACTAATAGGAGAGTTGGAAACCTTTTTGAAATTGAGTTGTTATTTAAAGGCATTTAATGTAATGGATTCCACAGTTTCTTTTTAGATCCTTATCTACTATATGAATTAAATGTCCATAAAGATGAATATTAATAGTAGCTCTCCTTTCCATGTTAGGGATCTATTGGTTGGTTTTGCATCAAAGTAGCATGCTTCTTTGTAATCTTAAATGGCTCTAATTTCCTACCTCCCTGTCTTTCATTTTCCTCTGGAGAAAACCCTTCCAGGGCATGACCTAATGAATTCTCCTTCAGATTGCCAAGTGAATCTGAAGCAAAGCAATTCTATAATTCGGTAGAGGGAACCTTCATTAAATACCCTAGTGAGAGAATTTTTACTGTTCATACCAGACGAAAGTACTTTTCTTGACATATTGAAATTGAACTTTAACATTTATGAGAATATAAATTGCAGCAACACATTGTAATATGTCATGGGTCCAGTAGAGCCTTAGGTCAAGGGTTTTTACTTTCTTTATAACCTCCATTAAAAATAGCAGTGATTCTTAATATTTTTTCTTTAAAAATTAGAAAAATATGTCCTGTCCTCTAGAGATGCCTTATCTTCAGTTATTCCTATAATTTATATGGTTGCATGGGGTATGTCTTTATAGGTTTTATTTGGCTTCACCAAAGTGCAAATTCAATTTTATACATATGGCTAGTTAACTCTCTTTTAAAACATAAATGTGGTTTTCTAGTGGAAAAAGATAATTTTTGTGTTCTCTTTATTCCAAATTTCTCTGTCGCTTTCTTGTCCCAAAAGCTTGCTAACATCACAGCTTTAAAAGAGCCCTATTCCATTTTATAGGCAGGCCCTGCAGCCATTAACTATGATTATCATATCACACTCATACATGTGAAATTGAAATGGACACTTCCCTATAGCACTTCTTCTTTACCACTCAGATACTTTCACTAGGTTCCAGATCAACTTGGAATAACTTTATATCTGTTTCTGTTTTCTGTGAAGGTCTTCTGAAGCAGACTTGAAAAAACAACCATGGTATTTTGACAACTAAATGCCTGGGCTTCCTCAGCACCTTGACAAATGTCAGGATTTTTCTGATAACAAATTTGCTGAACCTAGTCTTCATGATGAAGTGCAATAAAGGGCAGCACATAAATGTACCTGTAAAACTCAGTGTGCATCTTATTTATATAAGTCAATTATGCCACTTCTGGGGTTTAGGTCTAAGCAAGAAAACATACTGCATGTTTGAAACCTCTAGGAACTAAAAAATTCACTATTAGCTAGAAGACATGAATCAACAGAAAACACAGAACTCCAGTGGTCAAGATGTAGCATTACTGTTGCAATTATTTACAGGAAAATTCTGCCCTATGGAACACTGTTTCTTGCATCATTGTTAGTTGATAAACATATATATGTATTCATATGCATATATAGAAATATATGGCTCTTAATATAAAACTGTTGATTAATAAAATGTAAAGTTCTCCTAGAAATCAGAAAGATAATGCCTTTCTAGATAGCAAAGAATTTTTAAAATCCTGAAAACACAATTTTCCTAAATAGCACACCAAATATTAATTTTGGCAACTTTTGAAATGTCATTTTTCTAGGGCATTATATTGAAACAAGCAAATGAAAGAGAATAACATTCTAATTGCTAATATGTAAATTTAAGATACTCATACCTACTGAATAGGATTATGCTGAGATACTGCTAATGATGTTATTTTGCTGTATTAAAATTGCTTGCCTATTTGCAAATTTAAAATAAATAACATGGATTTTTTTTTCCTTTAACAGACAGGCTAGTCTCAATGAAGCAGCTGAGAAGTATTATGACTTAGCAGCAAGACTAAGGCCTAATGTAAGTACCTTCTTAATGAGTAGCATTGTCCAGAATAGAAAGCCCAGTGGATCTAATAGTTTGAGGATATAGACACATCATGATAGTTTTATTCTTAATTCCTTCTTAATCTGATTTTCCCCATCCACTATATATTTTATTTATTTTTAAAATCTTTATTGTAAAGGTGATTTTGAATACCCACTACAGAAGGGTATACAACATAAAATCCACCACTCTAAAAATTCCTTCTTTTCTCAGAGGCAAAATTACAATTTGCTTGCATGTGTTAAACACCATAAACTTTTATCGCTGGAATATACGTTGTAGCATTACTAAATACTTTGGGTTTGGATGAATTTTAAGATTAGTTACTTGAAAATTAGTGTGTGTTATTGTATGGTTTCATTTTTACCTCCAATGAAACCTTGATCTACTTGCCTCCTTCCTCCTCTTCAATCCCCTTGCTAATAACTGCTTTTCAACTTTATCAATAATATTTGGTTACAAGTTTCCTCTGGGTGGTCGTACTTCCATAAAATAAGATGAATATATATTAGATCATTACTATGGAAATAAAATGTCTATTTATGATACAGTAAGAACTGGTTTTATAGCAATTTTCTAAGCATCATTGTATTGCAGTGCGCTTAATTTATTCTTGAATGTATACAAGAATAAATTAAGCGCACTGCAATACAATGATGCTTAGAAAATTGCTATACATTCTGCATTGCTCTGTAGCACAAAACTCTCACCTGCCCACCAGCTCTGTACTACATATTGAGAAATTTGATTTTGAAACAGTAATGAAAGTTCATATGAGAAGTGAGTACAAGCAATGCAATCAGTCTTGTTCTTTTATAGTACCTCATCTTTTGCACAGGCATCTCTCATGCTTTTTGATAGGATGCAGGGATTCCATACCCTCAAAGAAATTGAGCACAGTCAACTACTTGAAATAGAGTGTGGCAATTCCCACAGAGATATATGAAGTCTTCTGGAAGCACAGAAGTGGGGATTGATGCTCTCTGATAATAGACCTGCATGGGAAGTAGCTTAAAAAAAATCCATAAGATTCATTACAGTAAACTTAGCTGTAAATCTAAACACTCCCCAGTTTTATTTGTAAGGAAGAAGTAATGGGTTTGGTGTTCTCCCTTTGACAAAACACAATGTAATATCACTGCAAGTATATAAATTTAAGTTTTACATGACAAAAGAATCTTCAAAAATTTGAAGATTCAAAGAAACAGGGAAATATTTTTATGGCCAATTGTGTATAAATATGATTTGAAGGCAAATATATAGTGGTAATAAATTAGGAGGAACTTAAAGCCTGTTTTCCCAAATTCTCCTCTGTGTCCTTTGTTGTCCGAGATAAAAAGGGAGGTCTTAAGATCTACCTCAGAAGAAACAGGAAGAAGAAAGTTACAGAATGACTGACCATTCCACATCTCTGATCTCAATTTCCTGTAAATAAAATTCTCAGCCTTCTGAGGTATCATATAGTATAGTGACTCTTCTGAGCCCATTAGTGTTAGTTATGTTTCAAGAATTGGTGAGCTATTTGCAACACAAGAAAATAATAACCGTCATGATAAAACAACAATGGCCACTACAATATTTGAATACTTATTATGTATCACTATCTTCAGTAAGTACTTGAGGTGAATTTCTTATCCATCCCCCACTACTCACAGATATTTTTGTGAGCCTCATTGTACTGAAATTTAGAGAAGTTCCTAAGTCACCCAGCAACACAACTTTCACAATTATAGGAAGTCACATTGGCTACCATGTGCATAACAAAAAGCTTGATGGAAAAAAAATGACCATGTTATAAAGAGGAGATAAAAGCCAGAGATGTGAGAAACCAAAATACGAAGTTTCTGCTCTTGTATTTTCTCAGTAAATATTTACTAAGTACCAGACACTGGATACGCAACAGTGAATGAAATGGTTATGAATGTCTGTTAGGAGTTTATAATCTGATCTAAAGTGAGAGAACTCAAGCAAATAAATAAAGTGACTTGTATTTCAATAGTGAATGATTTGGAGAAGAATGAAGCAAAGTATGGGGGGTTAGGAAGTGCAGGAGGTACAGCTTTGTAAATGCTCAAGATGGGCACTTTAGTGCAATATTTCTGATAGAAAGATTGAACTTGATGTCTTAAACTTGGTATTGTAATTTTATTGAAGAGAACAGAGAACAGAGTTTTTGTTTTTCTTTCTTTTCTGATCCCATTACATTGATTAATGCTTTAAGTATGCATAATACATGATAATTAAGTTTAACCTTTGTTCATCCAAGATGGGTTACTTTGGTGTCACTTTAATGTTTGTTATGTGATTAAATGAAACCTTTCAGCTCAATATAATGGATTAATAAGAAAACAGCTGTATGTGCCTTACTCTAAAAATTAAAAAGGCATTCAGGCACCACAGCATGCAGTCTGACTTACGAGGTTGTTTATTTTGAATGACAAACCAAATCATAAAATCAATGTTTAATCTTCAATCCAAAGCTATTTTCTTTTGCTTAGATCCCAAAATGTTTCTTCATAAATATGGTATAGATTATATTTGAAAGGCATTATTTAAATGATATATTCCCTATCTGACAACAAGAGGTATTTTATGAAGTTGGATAGACTATAAAGTTCATATTTAACAATCAGTGAATAATGTTATAATCAGTGGATCAACAGATGTGTTTTTAATCAATCTGCTTTTTAATTGTGTTTTGATTTTCAGTTCAGTATTGTAGCTAAATAAGGTGTGAATAAGGGCAAAGTGATACCTTAGGTAGATCAAATTAATAATCCATAACCATATTATAAGATTTTATTATGAAGCAGAAAACCTATTTAAACTATAGACTATCATTTATTAGGGATATGCATTTGATCTGAATTAAAGCAACCACCTTTCATATATCTCACTGTTTATTCTCTTTGTTCTTGAAAACATTCTTGCTTATTTCTGTCCCATAGCTATAATTTCAGTCACCTGCTTATAAGAGAGGGTAGCAAAAAGACCTTTGTGTGCATTTCCCCTCTAAATACTTTTGTTGTCTTTTTTCCTACTTTCTCATGATAGATCTTACTCTTCTATTGGCCTTCTATTGGCCTGAATGCTATAATTGTTTAGGTGTTGTCTGGGGTTGGGGATAATAGTCTTTTAGCAGTACACCTGTTAGATTACAGTTGTACAACTGAAAGATGGCTGAAACTTCTGTGTATTAGTGTTCATCACTGTCATATCAAAAAGATAAATGTTCATTTATGAGATATTGTTCATTTTTTAATAAAGTACTGATTCCATTTCTTCAAAATGTTCCATATTGAGTTTGTCATATCTAGTCTGCAAAAGAATCTGCTATTCTAGTTGGAAATTTATATAATTGATTTACTCTGAATTCATTGAATGCTTAAATTATTTGACATATGAGAATTGCAATGATCAGATACTTAGATAAGAAAAGAATTCTAGGGGCTGGGAAGGTGGCTCAGTGGTAGAGTGCTTGCCTTGCATGCATGAGGCCCTGGGTTCAATTCCTCAGCACCACATAAGCAGAAAAAAAACAAAACAAAACGGAAGTGGCGCTGTGGCTCAAGTGGTAGAGCACTACCCTTGAGGTGAAGAGCTGAGGGACAGCGCCCAGGCCCAGAGGTCAGGCCCCAAGACTGGACCCCCCCCAAAAAAAAAGAAAAAGAAAAGAATTCTAAATTATTCATTTTTAAATTTTTGTATTGACATTTCTTCAGTGAAGTTTAAGATGTTATCATGTACTGAAGTGAATAGAACAGTGTGTTTTGATTTCCAGTAAATAGTTAAAGTGGATTTATAAAATAATCAGTCTACTTATTTAAAAAATCTTACTGAGTTGATTTTGAGGGGTGGTTGCTATCAGACTGGATATCATATTAAAACATACTTTTTTTAAATTTTATTTTATTGTCAAGGTGATGTACAGAGAAGTTACAGTTACATACATAAGGTAATGAGTATATATGTCTATAGGTGGATAAAGTTCACACGAAACTGTATTTTTGTGTTTTCTTTTTCATTTTGTGCATCATCTGTGGAGGTTTCTATGTAAAGACAATTTTTATCCATTTTCTCCTTTCACTGTAGATACCAGAAAGTGCTTACTCCTGAGGACTAGCTAGAAGAAACAGTTCAATAAAACTGCTTTGTGTTTCCCATGGGAATTAAGCCCAATTCTGCATCCACTTACTAATTTTTAGTTTTTTATAAATATGAAGAATAAGAAATTTGCATAATGCAAGGTCACCTGCTTTTACTTAACTGCTTATTAACTGTGAAGTCAGAAGAACATAGTAATTAGTGATCAGATCTTGTCCTATTCTGGATGTATATATATATATATATATATATATATATATATATATATTTAGTTTGACCTCATTTAACTTATTTTTTTAAGTCAAGTTGCAGCTTTATATATTGCAGGCTGAATGCCAAGTGCAGTAGGATTTCAAAGTTATGAAAAATTAACTGACCATGAGAAAGACACAATTTAGTATGGGGAAGGAGGGGAGGAAAGAACATGTAAATCCCGATCCTTACACGTAGGGTGGTAAATAATGCTATCTAATAAGAGCTTTGTGAGAAATCTAAGCTGCGTGCTAATAAAGTGCACAGGAGAAATTGCTTTCAGCTGGACTGATCTGATAGGCATTGAGTCACAGTTGGCAAGCTTAAGGAAGTTTGAAATGATAGAATATATGTACGTGAAGATTTTAGCAGGAGGGAGGAAGGAAGAATTTGGCAGGTGGAGGCCTAGGCATAAATAAGAGCAGGGGGAAGTGTTGGGGATTAGACTGGAAACTGACCTAAAACCAGAAAAAATGCATTGAATATCAAACAAACCATTAGAACTTTGCATTCCAGAATTGCGTGAAGTGGGATGGCGTAAGGAGCCTATGTAGAAACTTAGGATGGCCATTTTTAGGAGGCAGTGAAAAATGTATATTGTGTTCAGGAAGTAGAAT